GAATATCTTTTTAAAGCTACTTTTTTATAGAAAACAAAAAATATAGTTTGATAGAGAATAATTTTCTCTATCTGTCGATGTCCAATTTATGTTCCGCCTCTCCCAAAACCGATAACACCAATCACTATGCGCCGATATTGTTTCTCTTATTTCGTTATGCTCTTTGCCGTGTGGGTACGTACCATAATAATAATAAATGACTAACAAATATGTAGCCATCATTAAACATAAACCTCCAAAGAAAATATTATTGATAGATGTCATTTCAGATCGGATAATTAGTCATTTATTTTTCCTATTCGACTATAATATGTCACTTAGTAATAATATTGTTATTGTCTTCGAGGTTAGATGAATATTGTTTGATTATTTATTTGATCAAGTCATAAGGTATAAAATCGTTTTAACGGGTGTCAATACTTGACAAATAAGGATTTATAAATGACAATGAAAAATATGTATCTATTAATAGTTTTGAATTGCATTTTGTTTATAATATGACTTATAATAATTGTCTATTTTTTTTTCTTGTTTTATCTTTGTAGATATTATATACATTCGTTTACATATATATATATATAGTTGTTCGAAATTTTTAAGAATTTCATGGCTTCGACAGCTAGTCTACAAGAAAAATTTAATGCAGCTGTCAAAGCTATTCAACGATTACCTAATGATGGTAATTTAAAAAAATAAATAAAATAAATAAAATTTTACTAAATATGATTAAATTGATTTCAATTATTTTATCAGGTACTTTTCAACCATCAAATGAAATGAAATTGACTTTCTATGGTCTTTATAAACAAGCAACAGCAGGTCCATGTAAAGAACCACGACCATCTGTATTTAGTTATATAAATCGAGCAAAATGGTAAATAAAAAATTTGGAATTTTTCTTTTTTCTTTTTTGTTTAAATTATTTATTAATTTAGGGATGCATGGGATAGATGTCGATCGATGACTAAAGAAGCAGCTATGGCAGCTTATATTGATGAAATTCGAAAAGTAAATTTCAGAAACAAAAAAAAAAAAGAAAATTGTTATTTCATTATTAATTTTTAAGATTCTTGAAACTATGCCACAAACAAATGAAGTATTAGAATTTACACAATTAATTGGACCATTCTATGAATTTGTTGATGATCAAACAGAAGAAAATCAACCAATTTCATTATTAAAGAAAAAATCACATCATACAAATATTAAGAAAAAAAAACAAAATACACTTGGATCTGTTGTTAATGGAACTGGTGAAAGTAAAATAAAACTAAAACGAATAACCAAAAAAAAAAAACAAAAATCGAATCTTTTACTATAGATAATCATGATGAATATCCAATGAATCATACTAATGGTCCTATTCAAACAAAAGTTTCATCTGGAAATGGTCCAGCACCATCTTCGTCACCTTCTTCATCTTCATCATCAATATCTTCTTCTGGTAAAAATCTTATTTTTCATTCGCAAGATGTATCAGAATTTTATGCTTTTTTTCGAATACGAACTTAGAAAATTTCTCTCTGATGAAATAATCTTTGAAAAATTATATTTAACAGTGAGCCAACAGATTTCTTTATTTTTGTTTATCACATCAGTTCTTTTTCGAATATTGGAATCGATCGATTTGTAGAGTGAATACTTTTCTACAAAATATGATATTGAAACTAAGCTGTAACTTTTACCCGAATGAGACTATAAGCAGAGATGGAATTGATCTGAAATCCATACACACACTGAACTGATGAGTTGTTATATTATCATTCCATCTATAAATAGATGATATTTAACGTAATCAACTTCCAATAAAGTTTCATTACATGTCCTCTATGAGATAAGAAAAGCAAAAAAATAAATAAGACACTGGTACCGCTTCTATAGCTTTTTACTCGTTCAGAAAGACTTTCTAGCGAATCAAAATTGAACAAATATCTTATCTAAAAACTTTTCAATCATCGGTTATGATATTATTATTATTATATAGATGCTGACGAATTTTATGATGATCCACCTGATCGACTTTCTCTCAATCCTGGTATATCAAATGATGAAATGATATCAAAAGATAATATTCAAGTAAATCGATATTCACAATCATCAAAATGAAATATACAATTTTTTCCTATTTTTAGACTAATGAACCTTCATCAACATCAAACGTTCCATCTGAACAACCATCAAATAGTACAACAAGACATCGTCCACATGTATATGGTGGTCAAGATGGATTAAATCATCCTGTACAACGTTCTACAAGAGGAGGTAAGAAAACTTTTCATTGGATTTTTGTTTTTCTTTGTAAGCTATTTGTTGAACAATATTAGGTAATCATTCAAATGAAGTTCATGGTTCATCAACACATTCATCATATCGTCATCAAAATCCATCTGATGGTGCTCGTAATTCATTTTCATCTGTAGCATCTGCCGGTGGTGGTAATGGACGACATCCAAATAATAATTATAATAAAGAAACACAACGTGCTATATTAGCAGCACTTACAAAACTTCAACGAGATGTTAATAATATATTAGAACGACTTAATCGATTAGAAACATCATCACATTTTCTCCAACAGGTTTATAAGAAAAGAATTTTTTTTTTTTTTTGTATATTATCGATAGCTGAGAGTAATGCAGATAAAATTGGAATCACTTATTTCTTTTTTTTCGAGAGCGTATATATATGATACTTCTTATTATAGTCACAAAATCTGAGAGGGCTAATTCGATCTTCGGAGCGGCACCGGACCTAAGAATCAGGAGACTTTTTTCGGTATTTGAAAAAAAGTCATTCTTCATTAACATCGAATACTTTTACGGAAACATGTGTTCAGTATAATGAACCTTGTACAATTTTCTACAAATTCAAATTGGACGAAATTTTCACAGAATAATGTTCCTCAACTCATAACATCAATAGAGTGTTATAGGTCTGAGCTGAAAGTTTTCTAGAAAACTCTCAATTTTCAAGATAAAACTCATGTTTTTCGACTTAGAAAGATTTTTATTAACCCTTTGACGGCGAAACTCGTAAATTTACGGTTTCAAAATATGATTAGAGAGCAAAGCCGAAATATAGTAAAACAGATCTTTTCAATATTTGTTGTGCTCTAACATAGATATTGCATCTTTAAATCAAGTCTAACGAGAGAATCTTTCCAGTTGCTACAAACAAATTTTGTCCACAGGTAGGGGATGTATAGACTAGAAAAATATGGATCTAAGTTACGCTTTGACTGAGATATCGACTTTTTACTACAATCTTCC